AAAATTCTGTTCTCAAAGACTATTTTCTTCTTTAGGTTTTATACTACTTAAGAAATCTCCCTCTTTTTTGAGATAAAGATGAAAACAAACATGCTAATTTATCCCTGAGGGAATAGAAAAATCACAAATGATTTTAAGTGGTTATACATTTCTAAGTAGGGCATCTCTGCTAACTTCAAGAAAATCAGCGAGGAGAAAATAAATATGTTTCTGAATACCAGGGTTGTAAACGTCAAGCTTCAAAAGCTTCGACAATATCTCAAAATGTTCCATGTGTGGGTGTGGCTTGTGAAGCTGACTCATTTCCTGTGTGAGTAAACAGTGGTGTCCATTTGGGGATCTTGGAGTTTAGAATTATGTTCACAAATTTCTCATCCAGAAAGAGCAGAGACCAAATAACACTGGCTATAGCAAAACACATTTAAACTGCAACAAAAAAACTTGTGTCCAGTAAAGAGAGAAATATTCTTAATATCACAGTGTTAGAGAATTTTAGTACCAGTTAACAGTTTGTCTGGGAGTAACCCTAACCTGACATATGCTAAAGGTCAGATTTTAGGCGACAGTGCTCAGAGCACATGGTACCTAGGAGTGGGCTATGAGCAAAGAAACAAAAAGAAGGAGATGCTGTCACTACGTTTTTTCCAAAAAAGTATTTTTGGCAGCGTATGCAATATCACTGTCCGCCTCTGGATTACATGCCGTATCTTGTTATCATGTACAACTTGTAATATGATATAAAACATTATATTGGACCAACCGATGAAAATAATTCTGCTCTTTATAGACAAGTGCACATATTTCTGTGATGAGTTAACAGAAGCTTAATTTCGATAGAATGTTCCCTGGCGTCAAATACTTAATGTGCTTTTACTATTACTTGATCAAATGAAATTGGAAGTTTCTGATATATTTCTGTGATGCCTGAGGTCTAAAAATATAACACACTTTTTAAAATAATACAAATATATGTATTATATAGATAAGTACATTATATTTTATTGATGTTTCAACTGTTAATTACATTAGCAACAAAGGTTTGCCTTTAGTATTTAGTATAGACTGTGATGATACGAGTTAACTGTGGAACACTTAGATAATTTAGTCTAATTTAAGAAAAGCCTTAGTCTTTAAAATAATATGTGTGCATTCATATAGCAGTACGTTTTTGTTGAAAATGGTTAACGCTTTCTGAAAAATGAATTAATAAAAGAATAAAAAACCTCTTTAGAACTAGAATATATTATTGGTATTTTTAAAGTTTGAAGGTGTGATATTTTTCTTCATATTTTTGAATTTAATTTTATGTAAGGAATTCTAAGAAAAATTGTGTGCTAGAAATAAGGCAGTTCAGTAGAATTATTAGTTTATTTTGAGCTTTCTAAACCTGGAAACTCAGAATCTACAGCCTATTCCTATAAGCAGCTAAATTCCTAAGCCTCCATCTCGAATATGCACATCCTCCCAGGAGTATCTCATTCTAGCTGGTGTGCTGTTTACAAACCAGACTTGTTAAAGAGATGACCCATGAATTCCAGTAATGAAAATTGATAGGCATGTGCTGGAAACCTTTTACCCAAGACAGGAACCAGATAAATGGAAGGAACTAAAAATTCTCCCAAGTAATTGTTTTGAGTAAATGGCATTAGGTATGTATTCAAAACTGATATAAAGGCAATCAACAGATAAAAGCAAGAAAGTGTGTGTATGTGTGTGTGTGTGTGTGTGTGTGTGTGCGTGTGTGTATACATATACACACGGGGTGCCAAAAAAATGTATACACATTTTAAGAAAGAAAAAAACTGTATTAAAATTATGCTGATGGTAGCCACTTTGAGCACCTCTTATAATTGCAGAAGTCAAATGTGACTTGTATTCATCTTTTTTTATTGCTATATATTGAGTATCACAATTTTAATGCAGCTTTTCCTTCTTAAAATGTGTATACATTTTTTTGGCACCTTCCGTGTGTGTGTGTTTGTGTGTGTGTGTGTTTACATAGCTATGTGAGCAGATGATAGATAGATAGATAGATAGATAGATAGATAGATAGATTCAGTTTTTAGGCAAGAGATCATGCACAAGCCAGAAATAACTCTTTTCCATGGGAGAGTATAATGTGGCGGTTACATGCACAGAGCTGAAGTGTGTGGGCTTGAATTTCTGTTCTCCTATGGATTGTGTAATCATCTGTAATAAGAGGGTCACAATAATAGTGTCTACTCAATAGGTTTGTTGTGAGAACAGTGCCTGGCCCACAGAAAGCCTATGTCAGACTTTAATATTATGCCCAGAAGTTTGAAAGAGAAAAAGGGGAATAAGGGAATACTCAATAACATGTGGGAAAACATGGGGCACCGAGTCAGAGTCCTCAAACGAAATCTCAGGTAATGCCACTATTGGGTGACCTTGAGCATGTTACTGAACCTCTCGGAGCCTCCATTTTCGTACTTTGTAAATGGAAGCACTAATCCTGAATTTGTGAGATAAGGGATAGATGGAAAGCCCCTGCACTTGATAGACGGTCAGTATTAGGCTACCTTTCCCTGCTACGTTAGAACCAGTTGTTAAAGATTACCACAAAAATTTCTTTATTCATTTGTTTTTTATGGCTAGTAACATTTATTACTTTAGGGTGAAAATGGATCTCCAGGCTTACCTGGTCTAAAGGTAAAGAATTGTTGAACGTTTCATATAATTAAAGAATTTTAACATCCTGAAAATTGAATTGACACATAATACAGTACAGATTCGGAAAATGTATTTGATGAAACTGAATTTCCTGAAAACCTCTTTTAGAAAGCCACTGACCAATCTTTCCAAAGAGAGCTCTCTGGCCTCCAAGGGGACACCCACTCTAGGAGATAGCATTGTCAGAGAGCTTAAGTGACATGGTTCTCCAAGGAACTCAACAATGGTGCTTTCTGGAAACCATGGGAGTATTCATAGCTGCTCTGCAAATGTTTTCACTGTTATTTATCAGTCTAAAGTGAAGATTGGAACAGTTTTTACTTCCTTTGACTACATTTGGTTGTTTCTCACTTATCTTCCTTTTTGTATATCCCAGATTGAGCTAAACAAAACAATTGCAATGACATAAAATATTAAATGCTCCAAAGATGCTGCAACTAATCTCTTTAAAAAAATCTCTCTTTTTCAGAATGATAAATTCCTAATAGGGATTTTTGCATTGGTTCGGCTCCTTCTTTTCTGTGCCTAGTATCTTTCTCTTAAGCAAAGTGGATTTCACTTGTACCCCTGTACCTGCCAAGGGCTGCTTTCTCCTCCTGGGGAAGAGTACGACTGTATGTCACCAGCATTACTGGAAACACAGACACTGGTCTATTCCAGTTTCCTGGAGGGTTGGGGAGCCACTTCAGGTGGGGCCAGCTGTGCTGTTACCACCCAGATAATCCCACCAGAGGGGAGGGTATTACTGGTGCAATAGTAGATGCCCACCAGAGCCAAGTAAATCATTGCTATGCTCTGGAGAAGTTTTATAGGTCTTCGCAACAAGATGTCAGAAGTTACTATTTCATCGAGAGTTTGCTCTCTAGCAAAAAATTACCACTAAAAAAAGATATGCACTTATTCATAGTTACAGTGTTTGAAAAAATCTTCCTTTGTTTGTCTTGATAAAGATAATAAGATTGAACCAGCAGTGGTGAAATGGCAAGTTTCTGAGTTTCTTCACAGGAGTTCTAGACAAAACCCATTGATACAACATGTGCTGCATCTGTGAGTCAAGTTGCAGGCCAAGGGATGTGTGGATTTATCTGCTGGGAAATAGTTTTGGACTTTCCAGCAGCTGTTTGTGGTGGCTGCATCATGCCGTCATTGTGGCTGATATACTGGGGTTTAGCAGCTTCAATGTCAGCTTGAATGAACAGATCAAGTTAAAGTCTATATTTTAGGAAAAATGGTTGAAAAACAGGTAGAACATGCATTCAGTGGCAAATATATCCAAATACTAACCTATTTTCTTTCATGATACCTTTTTTTGAGGGTAGATGAAGCAGAAATATCATATATTTGTTTACATAGAATATATAGAAAGAAACTATACATATAGTAGAACGCTGGCATTCCTTTTTTAACACAAATTTTAATTATATTAAGTGTTACCTTGCTGAAGCATTATAGAAAAAAGCTGGAGATAAGAAACCCTTCATTCCTTGTCTTGGTACACTCAGGCAGTGTTTACTGAGTGCCTCTTATGAGTGGGGGGAGGGGAGGTCAGTATGACCCAGCCTCAATACTTGCTGGCTATGTTTTTATGAGTGTATGACATATATTTGGTGTTCAATGAATGTTTGTTGAATGTATGGTGAAACATCAGTAGTATAAATATCTGTGCAGAATCAAGTGAGAAAATAAGCTTGTCAGATCAGAGAGGGTTTAGTTGAAGAACAGGGTACTTACACCTTTTAGCATAAATATGGTGGTTGAGAGCCAATCCCCATCGTGGCTGAAAGGCAGGAGATCTGTGGGTGAAGAGCATGACGCTGGTGTCAGAGCTGGAGCCAGAACGCTGGGGTTCATACCTGGACTCCTTCATCACACAACTCTCCCTGGAGCAGAATTCTGTGGAAGTCAGCTGGAGATGGATGTTTCTGCTGGATCTAATGAGATAAATACTAATAGAAATAATAACAATAATAGCTCACTTAGTCTGTGCCAGGCACTATGTTGATGCATTCAATTCTTAGAACACCTATCAGAAAGGTACTATATAGAAAGAAATTAAGTTTTATGGAGATTAAATTGCATTGGAAGTAGTGAAGCTGTAGATTGTACCCTAGAAAACCATTCCTTCACGTTTTAGGACTATTTAAGTTTATATAACTTAATATTAGTTTAGAGCTTACATATTAGAAATGATATTTATAATTATTTATTTTTTTCAGTGTTAGACATGTTATCATTATTATCGTAATAATTATATGTGTTAAAAGTAGTGTTCCTATTATTATACACATTATATTTCTCTTCTACAGGGAGAACAAGGTTTTAAGGGCAGCAAAGGAGAAATTGGTGAAAAGGTAAGTATCTCTCCTTATATATATGTTTGCAAAAATAAATTTTGTTCTTGAAAATATTTGGGAGTGGAGTATTTAACTCGTTTTGTCCTTTTATATAAGCAATTCAATAATTTTGTAGAAATGATTTAAAATATTTGCTTCATCTAAGGTAGGCTTGATATATTGATGTTTTTCAGAAAGCTTTCTAAACGTGTCTGGATGGTAGTTATTTCTAGACATTTCTAGTTAATACATTCCATCGATATATAAATGACTAAAACATTTATTAAGCATATTTTTGTGTTATAACATCATTGATGCACTAGGTTTCCAAGTCTTTAAATAAATGCTTTGTTTATGTGTATACCTGGTTTATTAGTGGAATTTTTCCTGAGGAAATAAATAACACAAGCTAACTGTAATAGCTCCAACAGAAAACAGAGGGAGCACTCAGAATAGTTTGAAAAAGTTTATACAGGGATGGTTTAAATGATATGGGCAAAGTGCAGGAAAACCACAAGGATTGTTTAATATCTTACATCCAGTTACAGAGGACTCCGTAAACGCCACAGGGTTGCTGGTTACCAGCCCCAGAGGCAAAGAAAACCATATGGAGAGAGGGCCAGATAGGAGCTGAGGGAAGCAGTTAACTCAGTATTCAAGCAATCATTGTTTTACACATTTACAGCTTTCTATACTGAAAGTACAGAAATTACGAAGTGCCTTAGTCATCTAAAATTTCCCTTCAGATAATCATTTGAATCATTTGGTATTTCATAAGTTTATTTTTATTTTTAAATAGAACAAAAAAGTATCATTCCTTTGTTTCATGAAATGTCAAGTAATTGGACAGCGAGAAGGAGGGCTAGAAAGGGGAAGAGATAATCTCAAATTAGACAGTATTGCCTCTGTTCAGATTTCTGGGTGGTGATCAATCATTTGCTTCCTCAATCAGTATTTACAGACAGAATGAGCATCTACTATAAGACAAATTACACATGTTGTAAGCTACTAGATAATTACTTTTCTTACAGAACTGTGAGAGAGAAAAAAGGATAGCCATATAATAATCATGTAATTAAGGATCATTCCATTAAGTGATGACTGTTTTTAAAAGTGAGTCTCTATTTTTAAGAATCCCTTGAATTTTTGCTTTAGAATAACAGTCATTGCAAGACCATGTGTTTAAATAAATGCTTTATTTACATGTATTGTTGTTTTATTGGGTTGTAGGAAAAGTCATGACGCATTTTTGCAACGAAAAACATGGAAAAAATATGTCATGACTTTCCTGACAACCCGATATTTAATGGGATTTTACCTGTAGGAATAAGTGAGAATAAGCAAGGAAAACAACTGTATTCTTTATAAATTGAAGTCACCATATCACTAAAACCTTAGTGGTTATTTTGATATTCTGATACATAGTTGGTATTGCTCAGTAATAAATGGATTCTCATAGGCTCTGGGGTAGAAAAACATTCAAAATATTTAACTTCAAAGATCTCCCTTCTGATTTCTCATATCTATGAACTATTGCCTTCAAATAGTCAAGTTCACCATCAGGTGAACATATTTATGGAGAATGATTGAGATATCAGGAAGAAATAAAACATCAAATAGAAAACACAATAACCTGAAAGGGAATTACAATTCAAATGATTTATCGTCAGATGTTAAGATTCACATAATAACCCTTATGTTAAAAAATAAGTTCTGCTTTGATTATTATTTACCATATATCAATAATATTATTTTTTTCAGTGTTACATGCTATGTATTCTGATTTTAACATGTATTTTTTATAAGATAAATAATTGAGGTCATCTTTTTGTTTCTAGATTATAAACAAAAAGTTTATAATCTTTGTTTTCTTGTTCACAAGAAAAGTATGTGAAGCACTCAGTTTTGTGTGACACCACCGTGAGATTCTTGGACTGTTCATGTCATAATTTGTTTTTTGAACAAAGACAATCTAATTTGAGTTTCAATTATTTGTAGAAAACTGATTATATAATTACTGTATGGCCTACCTCTCTTCTCTAATTACCTTATTGTGGCCTTTACTGTCTAAAGTTTGACTGTTTTGAATGACAAGATTCAGTAGCCTCCAAAGAAAATGATTCAGGAAGTTTTTCAGAGATGTCATTTCTACCAAAGGCACATGGCCACTGATCAAAAACAAAAAATTACATCAATTGTCAAAGATAAAATACTATGTGTTGATTTTCAGGTGTTATTTCTATAATCCAGTATAAACCAAGTAAAGAAATCTGCTGCTTTTCCTTATGGCTAGAGAACTAGCCTTCAAGCCAATTTAACTCTTAAGCGAAATGAAGTGATTCCTCAATGTTTGAACATGCGGAACTTAGTCCAGAGAAGAACCAGGAAACCTGAACAAGTGTAGAGGACCTCCCGTGGAAGTATATTCCTCAGTCGGTAGCAACTTATAACAGGGCAGAAACTCATATAGAACCTGCGCAAACACAATTCAGCCAAGTCAGTCCTCATGTAAAAACTATTTGAAGGGATGGTTCATTCTCTCAAAAATCGGTTACTTCTACTGTCAGGGCTCTCCCAGAAGACAGCTATTTTCAGGTTTATCATGGTCTGGTTTATCATTCAGACGTATAGGAATGACCCCATCCCACTGCTCCTTTTCTGGCTGGCCAAGTTAGGTGAGCATCACTCAAGGATCCTTCAACTGGTAACAGCATTGTTCATGAGGCAGGAAGAATAGGATCTATATTCTGGCTGAGGAATAGCCCCACAGCTGAGGTCTCTATTCTGGCTTCTCTGTTTTTATGGGGGTGATCTTAAAACATCCCTTCTTGGGAGGATTTTCCTTAGATGACGTCATTATTATTGTAGGTGTTCTGTGGGCCACTATTACTAGTGAACAAAATGGAGAGTCTACTCTTGAGATGACAGTTATTTCCGTACTATCAGCCTTCCTAGCAATGATGCAGTCCAATTCTTGTTAAATGACCAAATGTAAATGCATGAACTAAGCTCTGAATATCACATTAGAAAAAGGCATTTAGCAGGAGGTCATAGAAGTGATCGTCATTACTAAACCCTGAGCCCAATTTTATACTTTAGGTCTTTGTGAAAATAGGAATATTACTGGTTACATTTACGAAAAGAAGCACAAAAGAAAAAAAGAAAAAGAAAAGAAAGCATATGTAAATATCTGCTTTATAATAACATTCAATATTTTTAAGTCATTGCTTCAAATCATGTAATTTAGTTTGCTTTCAAAATTGTCATTGTTCAAGCTGACTAACTTAAAGTTTAAAAACTAATTTATTCAGTGTTAAATGTGATTCCGCTGAATTCTATTGTTAAATATCATTTGATCGTGAGAGAGAAACAAGTAGCAACTGCTTGCTACTCATGCCACACTTTCCTTGACATTTTTCCTACATTTTCTAGCTAAAATGTTGTCCATTTTAGTTCACTTGAGAGTGGCATTTATGTTAACATGGGCACACACAGCAGCAAATTCTTACAAGGATCTAAGATGTTTCTGCTAGTGTGGAACTTGTCCATTTGAAGAATTAAAATGATGTGGTCTCTTGAAGTTCTCTTAAGTTTAGTGACAAGGAAAAAAGAACAATCAAATGCACTTTTCTTCATGAACCATATGGCTCAAAGTGTGTGGACAGTATCCAACATTTGACATTTTCTGTAGCTTAGACTGTTCATGGTTAAATAGGTTGTGGCTTATTCTTATTTAGATTTATGGGCATTACCTACTTTGATTATCTTAATTACTGATCTTTTTTTCCATTCTGAGTTAAACTAACAATAAACACAATCACAAAACAAACAATGGCTCTTTCTTTAATTCATCACTTAAAACTAAAAAACTGATTGTTATAAATTTCCAGTGGCTTGTGATTTTTATTGTCCTGTTACCAGAGTGTTATCTAGGCCCTGAAATGCAATATAAGATATTAATGTAAATCTGAAAATTATGCTAAATATTTATTACAATGGTTTTATAGCTGTTGCAAATATTTTTACCTGACAGAATCCGCTGGGATAACATCCCACTGATTCCTGTTCTTAGATGATTTATTTAACTGGTATAATTATAGGATTCTCTGTGAAATGTGATATTCGAATGAATAAAATTACTAAAATGCCTATTATAACTGATGGTAAAGTGCAAGTATACTTTATTAAAAAATTGTCTGGGGTTATTCATAATTAAGCCATATATCCAATCATTTTCATTTCTTCTATAAACAATCAACATCAGGTAATTTTCAGGTGACATAATTCAAATCTTCATTGGCCAGCCTAAAATAAAATATATTTAGACTTAGCGTTGATTCTGTGTATGATGTGCAGCCTTTTGCTTTTGGCGGTTGAGGTTAAAGATGTGATAGGAGGGATGGAAAATGCTAGAATGTGTCCTTATCTGTTTTATAGCTGAATCATTCATTTTGGTTTCTAGTTAAGTGTTTGTTAAAGAAGAACAGCACTAATTCCATTTACTGTTATTTTGTTGCTTTTTGTTTTCAGTGTTAAAAATGTATCAGTACCTGTGACTTATCATATATAATCCTGATACATAAAGGCTAGGCTAATGGACATAATGTGCAATTTATTCAGTAGTGTTTATTGCTTTGTTTCATATAGATTGATTTAAATTTCATACTTAACTCATAACATCCAGTTAGAAGTTAAGACTATTTTTATACTAGTACCACAAATAAATGATTTTGCCTGTCAGTAAATAACTAAAATATTGACTTTTAGTATTAAATATCATGATGTTGTAGTCAATCAGGCAATCAATTACAATCATTTGCTACTAGAAACAACAATTATGTCTTCAAATAAATCAAGACCCTTTACACTAGAATGTATTTTTACTTTACATTCGTCAATTTTTCATTCAGGTGTTATAGTAATTGCATATAGAACTTAAAGTGAGAATTTGAAAGGGTAACTGACATATTTTGGCCATTTAAAATTTGTTAGAGAATGAGAAAAAACTTAAGTGAGTA